TTTTTGACATGAAAGAAAGAAAAAGACTTTGAGGTCAGGCAAACTTAGATTCTAACACCAGCAAGTTCTGCTTGCTGTGCCTGGGCCTCGGTTTACTTGTCTGTGAAGGGGGTGGGGCAGGTGAAAATGCCCACCTTATAGTTTACTGTCAGGGTCACAGACACTACCAATTATATGTAGCGGGCCAGCAGCTCACAAACCAGTTGCTCTGAGAACAGGCTGCTGTTGCCCTGATGGTGGGGAATGGTGACTGTTTCCATGGTGGGAAGTAGAACCTTAGGAAAGAAGGTAGCGCCCTGGTCAGTTTTGCTCAGTGGTTAGAGCATCGGCCTGCGGTCCAGAGAGACCCGGGTAAGGTTTCCGCTAGGGGCACGTACCTCAGTTGCTGTTTGTCCCCAGCCCTGGTTGGGTCGTGCGGGTGGCAACCACTCAAAGTGTTCCTTTCAGGTCGATGTTTCTCTCTCTCTCTCTCCTCCTCCCACTCTATCTAAACAAAATATGGAAAAATGTCCTTGGGTGAGGATTAAAAAAAAAAGATAGATGTGAGCCTTCTGAAAAGGACCCTGCCCAAGGGGGCTTCCTCCCAGGACAGGGCAATAGAAACAGAGAGGTGAATGGGGGTGTGTGCGTGTTCAGAAGCTGAGGGCTGGAGGTCACAAGGGATCAGCTAGAGTGCCACCACCCTGCCTGAGAATGTAGGGTGAGGTCCCTGGTGGGGCGTTCTCTTGGGAACCCCCAAGAGAGCCCCCTTGGGGACAGAGTCAGCGTTTGGCTATCCTCTGTACCCAGAAATATTAATGCCCAATTACAACCACAGCAGACAAAGACTAATTTTCTCCCCTCTCTCTTCCTCTGAACTATCGAGGGGAGAAGCTTTAGACTGAATAATACACGAAAATTTTGATCACAAACAGAACTGGACTTTTTATACCTAGAAGATGAGACTGTGCTTTACAGCAAGAATGAAAAGCCGCAGACCACTTTAAGCCGGGCAGGCCTCCAGAGAAATTAAAATCAAGGGACTGCCGCTGCCATGTTCAATGGCTGGTTTCCCTGGCATTTCTATTATGAAGCCAGTCCGCGCTGGGCATTGATGGAACTGCTGTCAAATACCTGTGGGGCCTTGGGAAGGCTTTTTATTTCTCTGGGCCTCAGTTTCCTTAGCTGTAAAATGCTTCTCTTTTCAAAGGGCCCTTGCTAGACTTGGCCAGTCAGTAGAGAGATCTGAGGTCTCAGCTCTAAGCAGGAAATTTAAATGTATCCTCAGCCCTAAGCCTGAAACAAACTGGTAGATCTTAGGAAGTCAGGCAGCGAGTCTTAAAAATGATCCCCTCTGTCTAGAGAGGAAATACAAACATTTAAATTTGTTGTTTAAAGATGTTAATCTCAATGTTATTCTCAACAGTTTCATTGAGACATTAATTTACATACTATAAGATTCGTCTCTTTTAAGTGTACAACTCAGTGACTTTCAGTAAGTTTATAGAGTTGTGTGATTATCACCACAATCTAATTTTAGATTATTCAAACATCTCAGAGATTCCTTATGTCTATTTTCGTCCCTACCCCCTGGCTATCACTAATCTACTTTCTGTCTTATAGATTTGCCTTTTCTGGACATTCCACAAAAATGAAATCACGCAATATGTGTTTTTTTTTATGTAGTTTCTTTCATGGAGCATAACGTTTCTGAGGTTCATCCCTGTTGTAGCATGTATCAGGACTTCATTCCTATTTATGGCCAAACAATAGTCTATTATATAGATATACAACATTTTTATTTACCATCAATGAATACATCATTGATGGATGTTTGGGTAGTTTCCACTTTGGGGGACTATTCTGAATAATGCTTCTCTGAACATTTGTGTATATGTCTTTGTGTGGATGTATATTTTCAGTTCTCTTGGGTAGATCCTAGGAGTGGAATTGCTGGGTCATGTGATAACTGTGTTTAACTCTGTGAGAAACTGCCAAGTTGTTTTCCAAAGTGCTGCACCAATTTTACCTTCCCATCAGCAATGTATAAGGGGTCCAATTTCCTCATCGCCTCGACACTTCTTTTCTTTTTCTTTTTTATTTATTTATTTTAATTTTCTTTTCTTTATTGATTTTAGAGAGAGAGAAAGGGAGAGGGAGAGAGAGATAGAAACATTGATGAGAGAGAACATTGATTGGCCCCCTCCTGCATGCCCCCCACTGAGGACTGGGCCCACAACCTGGGCATGTGCCCTGACCGGGAATCGATCTGGTGACCTCTTGGTGCATGGGTCGATGCTCAAACACTGAGCCACACTGGCCAGACATTTTCTTTTTAATTATAACTATTCTAATGGGTGTGCAGTTGAAACTCATTGTGGTTTTTATTTGTATTCTTTTTAAAATATTTATTGTTGAATGTAAAATGTATTACAGATGTTCCACATTTTCCCCCCATTGACCCCCTCCTCCCCACTCCCGCCCCCCTCCCGCCTTTTCCCACACTATTGTCTGTGTTCATTGGTTATGCATATCAGTTCTTTGGTGTATTTCTTCCCACCCCCGCAACCCCTTTCCCTTTGAGGTTTGTCAGTCTAGCAATGAATTTGTACTTCTTAATCTCTTCATCTTTTTCACCCATTCTCCTAACCCCCTCCCATCTGGCAACCAACAAAATGTTCTCTGTATCTATGAGAATGTTTCTGTTCTACCTGTTCATTTTGTTTGTAGATTCTATTGTTGATAGATATGTATTCATTGCCATTTTGTTTGTTCATACATTTTATCTTTTTCTTCAAAAAGACCCTTCATCATTTCATATAATAACGTTTTGGTGGTGATGAACGCCTTTAACTTTTTCTTGTCTGGGAAAGTCTTTATATGGCCATTGATTCTAAATGACAGCTTTGCAGGATAGAGTAATCTTGGTTGTAGGTTCTTGCTTTTCATCACTCCGAATATTTCTTGCCACTCCCTTCTGGCCTGCAAAGTTTCTTTTGAGAAATCAGCTGACAGCCTTATGGGAACTCCCTTGTAGGTAACTAGCTGCCTTTCTCTTGCTGCTTTTAGGATTCTCTCTTTGTCTTGAACCTTTTGCATTTTGATGATGATGTGTCTTGGTGTGGGCCTCTTGGGGTTCATCTTGTTTGGGACTCTCTGTGCTTCCTGGACTTGTATGTCTGTTTCCTTCACCAAGTTAGGAAAGTTTTCTGCCATTATTGTTTCAAACAGGTTTTCGATTTCTTGTTCTCGCTCTTCTCCTTCTGGCACCCCCAAGATGCGAATGTTGGCACGCTTGAAGTTGTCCCAGAGGCTCCTTACACTCTCCTCATTTTTTTTTATTCTTTTTTCTTTTTGCTGTTCTGATTGGACATTTTTTGCTTCCTTATATTCCAAATCAATGGTTTGCTCCTTGGATTTACGTACTCTATTATTGAAGCTGTGTAAATTATTCTTTATTTCAGTTAATGCCTCCTTCAATTCTAACTGTGCATCCATGATTTCTGACTGGTCCTTTATTATGCTCTTGAGGCCCTCACTAAGTTCACTGAGGTTCTCACTAAGTTCATTGAGCATCCTTATAAGCAGTATTTTGAACTCAGCATCTGTTAGGTTGCTTATCTCCATTTCTCTTAGTTCTTTTCATGGGGTTTTGTTCTGTTCTTTCATTTGGGACCTGTTTCTTTGTCTCCTCATTTTGGCTGCCTCCCTGTGTTCGTTTCAGTGTATTACTTAACGAGAGGTATGAGGCTAGCTGAGACCAGATGCTGCTCGTTTGAAAGAATTTAGGAAAAACCTGAAGCAGGATCCAAGACAGGCCAATCCTATGGTTAAGCAAGTGGCAACAGCTTGGGTGGGCCTGAAAGTTGGGTGGGGCGGGGCCTCAGGGAGTCACCAGGGTGGGGCTACCAGTGTGAGCCAGGATGCTGGAGTCCCAGATATGGCTTCTGTCTGCCGCCACAGGGAAGGGTTCACCAAAGGAACAAAGGCCTCTGACAGCACGTTTGTCCAGGAGAAAGGCCCCTCTCCAGCCCTCGCTCCAGTGCCAAACAGCTCAGTTCTTCCCTGTATGTCTCTGGTGCCCCTTGAGCTGCCTCCCCTCCGAGCTTAGAGGGAGAGAGTCCGATAAGTCCGTGCGCAGGCCCTTTAAGGAGCTGCCTGGGGCTCCAGCCACGTCAGCTTCCCTGAGCCTCAGTTCCCTCTGGTTTTTCCAGCCAGAAGTTATGGGAACTTCTCTTCCTGGCACTGGAACCCTGAGCGGGGCACCTGGTGTGGGATGGGGACCCCTCAGTCCTCAGGAAGGACCTTCCCAGCCGAGGTGTCCTCCTGATTTTTATCCGCCACACGTGGGTGTGGGACCAGCCTGTCCGCCTCCGCCCCTCCTACCAGTCTCGATGTAGCTGCTGCTTTAATTCCGTAGTTGTAGGACTTCCATTCAGCTTGATTTCAGGTGGCTTTGAATGATGGTTGTTCTGTAGTTTAGTTGTAACTTTGATGTGGTTGTGGGAGGATGCTACCACGTTTACCTACCCGCCATCTTGACCTTGTTTGTATTCTTATAAAGACTAATGATGATTTGGTCAAAAGCCTATTTCAATCCATTGCCCAATATTTAATGAATTATTTCTTTTTATTGAGTTGTAACAGTTCTTTGTATCCTAGATACAAGTCTTTTAGCAGACATGTGATATTTGCAAATATAAACATGTCTGACTGACCTTTTTTTTCAGTTACTTTATCATAAATGTAAGGGTTGACTTCTGGCCTCTCAATTCTGTTCCATTGGTTGATATTCTTACGCCAGCACCACAGTGTTTTGGTTATGTAGTTTGATATTATCTTTTAAAATCAGGAAGTGGAAGTCCTCTACTTTGTTCTCCATTTTCAGAATCGTTTTGACTGTTTTGAACTCTGCATTTTCATATAAATTTTAGGATCAATCCTGAGCAGGTAGGTCAGTTGGTTAGAGCGTCCTCCTGATACACCAAGGTTGCGGGTTTGATCCTCGGTCAGGGCACGTACAAGAATCAACCAATGAGTGCATAGGTAAGTGGAACAACAAATCGATGTTTTTCCCTCTCTCTCCCTTCCTCTCTCTCTCTCTCTCTCTCTCTCTCTCTCTCTCTCTCAAATCAAATAAAAATTTAGCCAGGGCAGCACTTGAAGCTGAGCCCCCTTTCCATCCTTGGAAGGCCTTGGCTTTCCATGGTGCACCTCTCCAGGCCCCTTCCTGTTGGCCCCCCTACTCCTGTTACTTGGCCTTTCCTCCCTTCTGAGCATGTGTGTAGCCCTGTGACCCCAGAAATGTGTGCTCCCCAGGCCCATAGGGCGTATTTATTGTACACATGTATAAATACCTGTGTTTTATGTTGATATAGATATATACTGTAATAGCATATATAATTGAGCAATATATTTGTTAATATATACTGTGTGGGCATGCATATGTGTGTGTGTGTGGTACTTGGATGCAAAAAAAAAATTGTTTTAAGTGATTATTATGTGTTTCCCTCAGAAAGATCATGTTGAGCCCTGGCCCATTTCCCTTGGTTTGGCTCAGCAGTTAGAGTGTTGGCCTGCGGTCCAGAGAGACCCGGGTTCGGTTCCCGCTAAGGGCACGGACCTCGGTTGCAGTTTGTCCCCGGCACTGGTTGGGTCATGCGGGTGGCAACCACTCGATGTGTCCCTTTCACGTCGATGTTTCTCTCTCTCTCTCTGTCCTTCTCTCTTCCTCCCACTCTATCAGAACAAAAACTGGGACGATATCCTCGGGTGAGGATAAAAATAAAAGAAAGATCATGTTGATCATGTAGGGCCACTTACCTGGCAGGGGAGATACCATGATCATGAAATGTTGAGGGCAGGGACAATATCTAATTCAACTTCCTTTTTCTGAGACTGAGCAGAGAGCCAGGCACAAACCAGATGCTCTGTGTGATGGCCATTAGTGCTGGCCACCAGATAATTGTTCCACAGCATTTACCATGACCTGGGTAACAGGCATAGTCAGCAGGTAAACATCCGGGTCATCATAAAGCCAGTCCCAAATGGCTTGCATACAGAGCTTACCAGCTGCCTCATCTCGGGCGGCTCACTTGGCATTAATAGGGGAAGATGGACAGTGTCCCTTCTCAGGGTAAAGAGACCTTACAGTGGCTTTTATGCAGTCCACCATGCTGGCCATGCTCTTGGGAATAACATACTGTGTGTTTGATCACGTACAGCCGTCTGTGATGTCCCACAGGGGCTGTGGGTCCTACATTAACCCAGATGCACTCTTCCACTCTGCAGTGCTCAGAACCATGTGTTTTAATGGACATTCAGCCTCAGTCATAATAGGAGAAATGTGAGGTAAAAGAAAACCAAGATTCCATTTTTCACCTAGCACATTAGCAGAGATCAAAAAGTTGGATAACACACTCAGGTGGCAAGGGAAATGGGCACTTTTATACATTGCTTGGGGGAGAGTAAACTAACCCAATGAGAAGCACAACTTGGCGCTATCTCCTGAGACTCCCCTGATCATTCTACTTCTAGGACTGCATCTTACAAACGTCCTTGCGCACAGGCAAAATGATGTAGGCGAAGGGAAGGTCATTCATCGCAGCCCTGTTATAAGCAACAGACTGGAAATGATTTAAATGTCCATAAATAGGAGATTGGATAAGTATGATCCATACATGCAGTGGAAAGTATTCAGCCATAAATGGGAACGAGGAGGCCTTTTATGTGCACACAAGAATGATCTCCAAGAAGAGTTAAGTAGGAAAGGAAGGCCGGGCAGCTGAGGGGCGCTACACCCATGTAAATGGGAGGGGTGCGTACATGTGCGTGAGGTGCCAGCAGGCTGAACAAGGTGGGACCTGTGACTCTTGTACCAAAGAAAACAGCTTTGTCTCTTGCCCCCATAGCCTGTTTAGACACTTTCTTTAAAAAAAAAATTTTTAAATATGTTTCTATTGATTTTTTAGAGAGAGAGGAAGAGAGACAGAAACATCCATGTGAAAGAGAAACATCGACTGGCTGCCTCCTGCATGCCCCTTACTGGGGACTGAGCCCACAACCCAGGCATCCTGACCAGGAGTCCAACCAGGACCTCTGCGTCCATGGGACTGTGCTCTATCCACCAAGCCACACTGGCCTGACTGTTTAGATACTTCCTGCAGGTTGGGTCTTCTTGCCCCTTAGTTAAGACCTGGAGCAGGTCCCATCTCTACTGGACACTCAGATTTAAAAAGTTTCCAATCACTGGCAGTCATGAAACTGTTTCAGTACTTTGACAGCTAAGAGGCACAACGTCAGACTATTCAAAGATTTTTGCTCCCCAGGCCTAGGCCTGCTCCCTCCCTTCGTCTCTGTTCCATTTATCTCTGTTGAGCACCTACTGTCCTGGTCCTGTGCAGACAGCAGAGACCAATCAGGACTGATGACCTCCTGGAGCTGACATTCTGGCAAGAGAATCAGACAGAATCCTTGAGTGCCCTGAAGGAAAATGGGGTTGGGAAGGGTTATTAGAAGATCCCTGGTAGGATGGGGTGCTTGTGAGGGTCAGGTGCCCATTTGTATAGGTGGTCAGGGAAAGCCTAATGTGACTTTTAAACAGAGATCTGAAGGAAGTGGGGTAGCCAGACGGTCATCTGTTTGGATTCAGATGCAGCTCCCCGGCCACGAGACCTGTGCAGTCACACAGGGCCCTGTGATGAGAAGGGTCCCGCACTTTGTTTAATGTTTTGCTGTCTCTATCTTGAAATGCTTAAATTAAAAAAATGTTTTTTCTTTATTGATTTTGGAGAGAGAGAAATATTGATGAGAGCGAGCATTGATTGGCCGCCTCCTGCATGCCCCCCACTGGGGATTTGGCCCACAACCTGGGCATGTGCCCTGACCGGGAATCGAACTGATGACCTCTTGGTGCATGGGTCGACTCTCAACCACTGAGCCATACCAGCTGGAATTGAAATGCTTAAATTTTTTTTTTATCCTCACTTGAGGACCTTTTTGCATTTATCTTCAGATAGAGTGGGAGGAGAGAGGGGTAAGAGAGAGAGAGAGACACATGGAGTGGTTGCCACCCACACAACCCCAGCTGGGGCGGGGACAAACCTCAACTGAGGTACATGTCCTTAGCAGGAACCGAACCTGGGACTCTCTGGTCCACAGGCCAACACCCCAACTGCTGAGCCAAACCAGCCAGGGAAAATGCTTAAATTTTGAACAAAGACCTGTGTTTTCATTTTGAACAGGGCCCCAGAAATTATGTTGCTGGTCCCTTCTGGTGCAAAGTGAGTCCCAGGCAGAAGAGACACGTGCACAGGTAAAGAGGTGGAAATGTGCTGGCGGCTTGGAGTCTGGCGTAGGAAAGGAGTGCATGGTCGGCTTCTCCATTTCTGCCCTTCCGGCCGCCACCCTTCTTCTCTGCCCTCTGTGGTTCTGACCCCTCCAGGGCTCTCAGGAGGCAGAGGGAGTGAGGGTACAGGGTCAGGAAGGTCCGCCTTAACCTACCGTCTTGAGCTAGTATTCATGTACTCCAGGCTTGGCAGGGGTTTAAGATGACTCTTTCTCTTGTTAGGGGGTAGGGGTGTTTTCCTGGAAGTCCTGGTCAGTGTCCCCCAAAGCAGGGCCTGAGACAGAGACTTAGGTGCATGTAGCTTGTTTGGGAGGTGACTCCAGGAAGCTGAGGGAGTGAGACAAGGAAGGAGGCAAAGCACAGAGGACAGGTCTTCCAGGTTGCTGCTTTAGGTCATGGATCCTGGACCCAGCACCAAGGTGCAAACAGAATGCCTCTCCCAGATAATCTTCTCTTGGACAGGAGGCTAAGCTTTCTCCAGCAGCTTCGATACACTGCTGAGTGAGGGCTGTTACCAAGGGTGTTAACTGCCTGCACTTCTAGTTCACACCTAACTAGGAGGCTGAGCTACAGCTTCCTAGAGAGCCTAGAAGCCGGAAAGTGGAGGCATGACTTAGGCCTGCCCAAGAATCCAGTCTCCCTGGAGACTCTGTTTTTTTGCAGGGGTCTGTTTCTGCCAAGGGCCATTTGAATATTTATAACATCATTTGTGGGCCATACAAAATTATTAACTTAAAAATTAGCCTGCAGCCCGGCTGGCGTGGCTCACTGGTTGAGCATCAATCCATGTACCAGGAGGTCGCCAGTTTGATTCCTGGTCAGAGCACATGCCCAGGTTGTGGGGAGCATGCAGGAGGCGGCCAACTGATGTTCTCATCGATGTTTCTATCTCTCTTTCCCTCTCTTTCTAAACCTCTCTCAATAAAGAAAAAAAATTTAAACTGCTATATTTGGTCAGGCTAATTTTGTGAGGCATGTGATGATAACTGGTATTGATTTCGTGGGCCTTATATGGCCCATGGGCCGAAAGTTTCCTCAGCCCTGAAGGGCTGAATTTGTCACATGGGAGGACAGCTGGGTGATGCACAGGTTACCAAATAGGTTCTCCTTCCAGGGTTGAAAGGATTATGGGGCTCTGGGCTCCTAGAGCAATGGAGTCACTGCACCTCATCCAGGTGGCCTAAACTGGAGGAGGATAGAAGAGGACGGTGCCTTTGGCTGTGCCAAAGGAGTTGGAGCAGAGCTGGGCAGGGAAGAAAGTGTCCTGGCCCTACAGCTTCACTCTGATATCAGTACTGTGTAGCAGATAGGAAGCACGCTTGCATCCTGGCCTGCCACTGGCCAAATGAGTGGCCTTGGGCAAGTGAAACCTTCCCAAGCATGTGCCCTTATGCACAGACTGAGATAATGACAGAACCCCCTCATGGGCCTACAGTGTATGTGAGGGGGGCCTGGCACATGGCAAGTGCTCCATAACTGATCACTGTTCTCACTTTTATAAGTTTAACATTCAGCTCTCAAATATCCACCACCAGGTTTCATGGTTAAGTGATGTTTCTCCCCTAGCACAACCCCAGGTTCATTTCTCAGAGCCTGTACACATCGGGAGCTATGCGACCTGGAATACATCATGTCTCCCCTCTGGGCCTCAATTTTTCTTTAAAAAAATTTTTTTTCTTTATTGATTTTAGAGAGAGGGGAAGAGAGAGAGAGAGAAACATAGATGAGAGAGAACATCGATTGGCTGCCTCCTGCATGCCCCCCAATGGGGATTTGGCCCACAACCTGGGCATGTGCCCTGACCGGGAATTGAATCGGCAGCCTCTTGATGTATGGGCAGACTCTCAACCACTGAGCCACACTGGTCGGGCTGGGCCTCAGTTTTTCTATGCATAAAATGGGGGTTGTCACACTCCCCTCATAGGGATGCATGAGGCTAAATGAAATAATATAACAGTCTTATGTCTCCTTTCTGAATCTCAGTTTCCCAATTTGTAAAGTGGATTAATAGGGTTGTCTTGATCAAAGGAGGTAGTTATGGCAACTGCTTAGGGCACCGCTCTGCACCTGGGAAGATCTTAATAAACTGTAGCTTTAAAAATAAGCTCAGTATAGAGCAGGTGTCCAAAAACGAAAGCTGAATCCAAGTGACCTACCAAGTTTTAAATTTTTATTTATTTTTTTATCCTCACCCAAGGACATTTTTGGATTTATCTTCAGATAGAGCGGGAGGAAGAGAGGAGGGGAAGAGAGAGAGAGAAACATCAATGTGAGAGAGACACATCGAGTGGTCACCACTCATACAACCCCAACCAGGGCCAGGGACAAACTGCAAGCGAGGTAGATGCCCCTAGCGGGAACAGAACCTGGGGCTCTCTGGTCCGTGGGCTGACGCTCTAACCGCTGAGCCAAACCAGCCAGGGCCAAATTTTAAATTTGTATTCACTATGATAGAATATATTCCATTTTATAGAATATAATCTCCATAATGTCCTTGTTTTTATTTTCTATATCCTACCTTTCCTCAATGATTAGATTTTCTATGACACTTTTCCTATCCCCGTGGGTAATGAAGATTTAACTAATTTCTATTTGTCTAAACTTGTTGAAATAGAGACCTGTTTCATCCTATCATCTTATGATTATACACATTTTGTTATCGTAAAGAAATACACATTCCTCTAGTACATTGCAGTTGACAAAGAATCTTCATACCCATCCCTAAAAATTAATCCTATTAACCTATCAGGTTGTTATTATCTCAAGTTTGTTTTTTTAATCCTCTCCCGAGGATATATTTTTTAAATCGATTTTTGGGGAGCGGGGAGAAAGAAAGAGAGTAGGGCACCTGGGCAGGAGAAGAACAGAGTGTTAAAGGAGACATTACGTATAAGACAAGGCAAAGGATCCGTGGCGAGCGGGGAAGAGACAAGACCATCAACTCCCACAACAGAGATTTTAGAGGGATGAACAGGACCCAAATATTCGGCTAAGGCAGAGTAAGTGGCCCCCGTGTCTATAAGGAATGAGATCGGCTCTTCGACGGTGATGTGAGATGGGGCCGATGGCCCTGGGCACCTTCAGTCCTCAGTGGCAAGGTTAGTCAGGAGTGGCTGGGGTAAGGGTTGAAGGGGAGAGGGGGCAGTCAACCTTCCAGTGTCCCGTTTCCTGCAGCGAGGGCATGGCCCTGGTGGGGGCCATGGAGTTGGACAGGCTTTTGCCCCGCAGCCTTCCTTCCACATCTGAAGCAGGGCCCTGGTGGAGTCTTACGAGACCCTCTTTGGGGGACACTTTTCTCGCGTGAGCCTTTCAGGGCAGCCGCAAGCAGCTGATATTTCGCCTGATCTCTTTGGGCCTTTTCTGCCTTTGCCTGTTCTTCTCGGTTATTATAGACTTTAAAAGCCATACTTAGGAGATCTCGTTGAGGGTTTTGAGGGCCCTCCTCTGCCTTTTTAAGTTTTTTTTTCCCAAATATCAGGGGCTGACTGGGAGATAAAATGAATGTTAAGAACTATAGCCCCCTCGACTGAGTTGGGGTCGATTTTAGCATATTTTAGGAGTGCCTCCGTTGGGCGGGCCAAGAATTGGGCTGGGTGTTTTTCATTTGCCCTTTGTGAAATTTCTCGGAGTTTTTCATAGTTAACTGCTTTGTGAGTGGTCTTCTGGAGCCCGGTTATTAGGCAGGTGACCATATGGTTACGAAGGTCTCTGCCAGGTTTACCAACCTGATAGTCCCAATTGGGGTCTTCCCAGGGAAGAGCTGCCGCTCCCACAAGTTTTTGGTTGTCCGCCTGGTGGAGGTCGACCGCCTGCCTGTGCAGCCAGACCCATTCTTTCTCTTCAGGTAGTAAGGAAGGAGAGAGGATGATATAGAGGTCATGCCAGGTGAGGTCCTAAGACTGGGGTAGGAATCTAAACTCCAAAGAAGTGTCTGGGTGGGTGGAGAAGGAGCTCGGTCTCTTCTCTATTTGGGACAGGTCTGAGAGGGAGAACGGGACATGAACTCTAACAGTCCCCTCAGCACCTGCTACTTCTCAGAGGGGAGGAGAGGTGCCGGAGGGTCCCCAGGGGCCCACCGTTCTGTGCGTGAGTGAGTATGAGGGGGAGAAGGGAGAACTGGAGAGTTAGAATCTGGCTCTAAACTCGAATGGTCCCCAGATGGCAGGGAGACGTCTCAGGGTGGGGGGTCTTGAGGAGGGGTAGAAGGAGGAGGAATAGATGGGGCTGATGGTGGGACACTATGGTTGGCAGGATCAAAGGGGGGAGATTCAGAGTCAGCTGGAGGAGGAGGTTGGAGTGTGCTAAAAGAATGTGATATATAGAGCAGGACTGACAGAGAGGGGTGAGATCGGAAGGTAAAGAAGGCCTGAATAGCAACCATTTGACATTGTGCTGACAGAAGTTATCGAGATTTTGAAGTGTGTTAAAGGCAAAAGTGCCATTTTTGGGCCATCGAGACCCGTTATCTAGCCGTTACTGGGACCAAGCAGTATTGCAATAAAAGATGAGTTTTTTGGGTTTGATTACATCTTGAAAAACGAGAGTCAATATTCCGAAGGAGACATCCAATGGAGTGTCCCTCGAAGGAAGAGACTGCGAGGTTCCCATGATGTGGAGTTGGAGGCTATAAAGGGTGAGTGCGAAGGTCCCTAGGAGGAGAAGGGCAAAGGGAAGGGGCGTCCCCTTTCCCCTGGCCAGTCTCTGAGAGGCAAGAGAGGAGGATCATTCACAAATTGGGCATCTCTGAATTAGTGAGGGTCAGGACCTAAAGGTTGAGAGGGTCTTCCTGGCCTAGTGCTAGGACTTTCAAGGACCAAAGCTGACAGAGACAGGAGACCCAGAGTAGGAGACCCATAGGCTGTAGGAAGAGAAATCAGGCCGGTGGTGTTTGTATAGTCAGCAATGGCAGGGGTGGAGAGCCCAGGAGAGAGTGCGTCCCTCGGCAGGTTCAGGAGGTGGATCAAGCT